AGGCTCCGAAACCTCCGAAATCCGGTCTCCCGAGAGTCGTTTCGTCTAACAGTCAATAGAGCATATTATAGCATCAGTACTACAGTACAAATAGTCATGAGACCGTAAAATCCCTGTCGCTGTTCTGTATTCCTTGTCTGTGTTCTGTAAAGCTTGTCATGGTTCCAATGTACCCTAGGGGTGGGTGTGTGTGTGTGTGGGTAATGTGTTGATGATTTGGGTGTGGCGCGCGTGTGTGTGTGTGTGTGTGTGTGTGCGCGCGTGTGTGGGTTGCGTGTGTGGGCCTGTCTGTCTGATCTGTGGTGTGGGCTTGTCTCACCGCTCTGTTTGCCTGCCTGCCTGCCTGCCTGCCTGCCTGCGTGCGTGGCGTGCGTCTGTATTTCTCTGTGCGCGTGTGCGTGCGTTGGTGTGTGTGTATGTGTGATTGATTGTGGTTTGATTGATTGTTTGATTGATTGGCATTGATTAATTGATTGTGCGTGCGGGCGTCGGCGCGCGCGTGCGCGCTCGCGCGCGCTCGCGGGTGTGTGTGTGTGTGTGTGTGTGTGTGTGTGTGTGTGTGTGTGTGGTTTGTGTGTGTCGTGTGCGTGTGGGTGGTGGGGTGGGTTGTGGGTGTGGGCGTGGGCTGGGCGTTGCGGGGGCGTGGGGGTTGGGTGGGGGTGGGGGTTGGGTGGGTGTGGGTTTGGGTGTGCGCGCGTGCGCGCGTGCTCGCTTGCTCGCGTGGCGCGGGCGGGCGGGCTGGCGGGCGGGGGTGAGGGTCGTGCTTGCGTGCTTGCTGCGTGGGTGCGTGGGTGTGGTGTTGTGTGGGTGTTGTGTGGGTGTTGTGTGGGTGTGTGTGTGGGGTGTGTGGGTGTGTGGGGGTGTGTGTGGGTGTGTGGGGGTGTGTGTGGGTGTGTGTGGGTGTGTGTGGGTGTGTGTGGGTGTGTGTGGGTGTGTGTGGGTGTGTGTGGGTGTGTGTGGTGTGTGTGGGTGTGTGTGGGTGTGTGTGGGTGTGTGTGGGTGTGTGTGGGTGTGTGTGGGTGTGTGTGGGTGTGTGTGGGTGTGTGTGGGTGTGGTGTGTAGGTGTGGTGTGTAGGTGTGGTGTGTGGGTGTGTGTGTGGCTGTGGGTGTGGCTGTGGCTGTGGGTGTGGGTGTGTGGGTGTGGGTGTGTGTGTGTGGGGGGTGGGGGTTGTGGGGTGTGGGGGTGTGGGGGTGTGGGGGTGGGGGTGGGGTGTGGGGTGTGTGGGTGTTGTGGGTGTGGGTGGGGTGGTGTGTGTGGGTTGGGGGTGTGTGGGTGTGTGGGTGTGTGGGTGTGGGGAGGTGTGTGTGGGTGTGTTGTGGGTGTGTGGGTTGTGGTGGGTGTGTGGGGGGTGTGTGGGTGTGTGGGGTGTGTGGGTGGTGTGGGTGGGTGGGGTGTGTGGGTGTGTGGGGTGGTGGGGGGTGTGGGGTGTGGGGGGTGTGGGTGTGGGGGGGTGTGGGGGGTGTGGGGGGGGGGGTGTGGGGGTGGGGTGTGGGTGTGGGGGTGTGGGTGGGGGGGTGTGGTGTGGGGGTGTGGGTGTGGGGGTGTGGGTGTGGGGGTGTGGGTGTGGGGGTGTGGGTGTGGGGGTGTGGGTGTGGGGGTGTGGGTGTGGGGGGGTGGGTGTGCGTGGGTGTGCGTGGGTGTGCGCGGGTGTGCGTGGGTGTGCGTGTGCGTGTGCGTGTGCGTGGGCGTGTGCGTGGGCGTGTGTGTGTGTGTGTGTGTGTGTGTGTGTGTGTGTGTGTCATGTGATGCGTCATGTGACAGCCGAGGTGCTCTCAAGTGTCAAGCACATGCAAACAGATCGCGCCTTTGGCGTAGAATTGGACTGTGCCGAGATGGTGCGCATTGGCACCTGGGTGCTGTCGCCACGGATCGCTACGGCTTTGTCGCACTCTGTGCCACGCAGCACCGGACGATCACCTGTAGGTCCAGCACCGGACGAGCTTTTGCAGCTGCTGCCTCCCGGGCCTGGGACAAAGGCCACATGATGAGGGCAGTGGGGAGGGTTGTGGAGAGCTCTTAGGGTTTCGGTAACCACAAGGACACATGAAGAGGGCGCTGAGGGACCAGGCCTGTGCTTCGCGCTCTGCTCTTGAAACAAAGGCTGTAACCTGTCTTTGCAGATGGAAGAATGGGATGTGCACCTGAGAGCACAAGATATGCCCAAGATACATTCAATTTTGCTGGACAGAATGCCCTGGCCTTCTTCTTGTTCGCACAAGCTCGGACGGTGCATCTGACTTCGTCGGAGCGTCGGCAAACCTCATCTCATCATCCACATCAGCAACATGGAGCCCCCACGGAGCCCCCAACGTTGAAGTCAGCCACTGTCACTGCCGTGCACACGCTGAGGCCCCGAGCACTAAAGATGTTGGACAGCTCTTCGCAGACCGGCTCTGGATCCGCAACGCTGTTTTGTTCTCAGCACGACATGCCGTATGTGCGGCACAGAATCTCAGAAGTGGGTAGCACGGCTGGCAAGCGAGTCCCGGGCCAAGTCGCAGCCAAAGAGGCTGCGTTTTGTCGGATCGAACCTTCTCCTTCAGGAGTTCCAAGTGCAGTTGCAGCCACCACACGTTTCAGCGCAGGACGCCAGGGCCCCCACACAGGCTTCGACTAGGCATCGGCACCCAGTAGCTGTGAAAAGATTGTGCGACAGATGAACCTCCTGAGTCAAGCAAAACGGTTCATTGCAAGATCCCCCTGTCACACAGTCGGAATGTCGACAGCCTCCATAGAAGGTTTCTGGCTAAGCAAGTCGGCAAGGCCTTGGACAGTTTGCATTCGGGCCCGTGAACTACACAAAGTTTCCATCTGCTCCCAATGCTCCGACAAGCCTAAACTGGTACCCGACACAACAGCCTTGTGTCGAATCACAAACGTCACTCTCATTCTTGTGATTGCCTGAGCACCTTACTTTCGGCGCCTTTGTCGTCTAATTGGTTTTTGAAAAGCCTGCCAATGAGCAAAAGCCACATCAGTGCACCAAGCACCAAACAGTACCAAGCAAGCTCCCTTGAGCTGTCAATGCCTCCACATAAACCAGAGCCCCGGAGTTCACTTAGCTGCAAGTTTGAACCCCGAAGCACGTGATCCATATGGGAATCAGGTCTTGACAGAGGCTGTTCGTGGCTTTCTGATTCGAGGAGTCTACTTGGTGAGGCGAAGGACGCTGACAGTTTCACCTGCAATTCCCTTTGCGAGTTCGTTGCCACCTTGGCGAAGTTGGATACGCAGCAGCGGCAAGATTTCATTTCAGTCACTGCAGGTCTGGCGTGCCATCTGTTCTGGCTGCCAACGTGCCATTCTAGCAATCGCCCGGCGATCATGGAGAGCCCCACGGACAAGGACACCACACAGTCCAGCTTCGACCCGAAATCCTTAAAGGTAGAACTTTCTCAGCAAGGTCTTCAGCAAGCTTGTTTGCAGGCAGTCAGTTTTCCGATTTTTGGGGGAATCAGTTTTCCCACTCGCATTGCCGGATTCACCGTTTTCCCCGTTTGCTGACTTTCTTCTCCCGGCTTGCGGCCTCTGCAGTCCTTACATGTCCTTACCCACTCTACGTGGGGGTCGCTGGGCACAGGTACCAGTCCCTCTCAGGACTCCTTTCTCAGCCCTCCAAATTCTCAAGCCTTAAGCCTTCAAGACATCCAAGGTTTCAGTCATGTCCTCTGCAAACACAGCCACGGTATGCACAAAGCGCGTGCCGGTACAGGCTTTTGGGTGGAGAGCTTGTTTGTTTCTCTGAGGGGCTACGTGTCTCTCGCCACTCTTTGTAGGGTCTCACGGTTGCTGTGTCCGGAGCCTCCGGCCGGCAATTGTCTTGAGGCTATGACGGCTGTGCCAAAAACAAGATCAAGCCTCTCGCACTCGCCCTGGAAGCCCAGACATGTTGCAGCAAGCTTTCAGAATGCAAGCGTGAAGATGTCTGAGTCGAAAAGGAACACGTGTCCGAGCTGCGAGTGGACACATTTCCGTGCCAAAGGCAAGCACAGCAAGAGTCACAAAACTGACATACCCCCATCCGACTCCAGAACAGTCGGCCCAGAATCAGAAGGTCTTGTGAAAAAAGCCGGGCGGACTTGAGTATTCTCAGCTTTGGGCATCGCTTGCATATTTCAAGCACCTCAGATGCGTTCGCCGATCATGCCGTGTCATGGCATGGCATGGCGTGTTGCACCATACGTGCGCTACTAAGCCAGGCACCACTTTAACGGTGTCAGATGTGAGACCACACTGGGAGAAGTCAACTTCTTCAAATGTCAACGTCTCCTTGCAAAGGGGTGAGAACACCTCCCCTCCATGTGCTGTGCAATCCTAGACTCCCTCAGAGCCGTCTTCCTGCTTCAGCAGCGTGGTGAATTTGGCTGCTTCCACAGTCTGTCGGGCATAGGTGAGCCTTTTCCTCAGGATATCGTCTCTGACTTTGCGGGTCGCCTACAGTCTACAGTTGGGGTAAGTCCGCCGCAGAGAGCTTGCTGTGCTCTCCATTCACTGCCAGGTCCTGGCTCACTGCACTTCCAGTCACTACCGGCCCGGCTTTGATTCAGCTGTCGCAGAGACGAAACCGAAACAGAACGAAACAATCAGTACGGGCCCACAATGCTGACCCTCTAAGCTTCCGCATACTCCCGCCGTGCCTAAAGATGGGCAGGCAGTCAGGGCTCGACCTCACTGCACGTAGACATAGAAGCATCATCAACGCATATCAATGCCAGCTGTCATCTCAGGTGCAGGCCATAACTAATACGCAAAATGATGTACAGAAATAGACAGCTGCAAGCCAAACAGCCGTGTCCCATCATATGCAAGTTGTGGTCAGTAACCCTGTGACACACTAGGTGACCGCACATAGAAACTGTGGGAGAAGCACATACGGAAAGATGTTTGTGCCATAAGCAGGCATGCTGTACGCCGGGAGGCACCTTGCTCCTAAGGCCCTAAGGATCAGAGCACGCGCGCTGCCCTGGAACGCCCACAGTAGCAGTTGCGTTGCTCAGTCTCACATGAAGAAGATGCCGTCGGGATCCATCCCAGATCCTTCAGACAGCAACTTCAGGTCTCGAGGCAGCGGCTGGATGCAGGGTGTCCCTGCTCCAGCAAAAACGTCTGCGTCACTCATGGAGTGCGCCTCAAGGAAAGTCTAGCACAACATGCGACAGCAGCAAGCCCCGATCCTCTGCCAGGTCGTCCACCGTGGAAGGTAGGCAGCCCTTGACAGGAGAGAAACGGGAAGATTGCGGAACGTTCCTGTGGCATGCCTCCAACACATGCAAGCTTACTGGATGTTTCACAGCTTTCAGAGCCTCCTGGATTTCCTGGGAGTCCCCCTGGCCTTAGTCAAGCCGCAGTAGTTGGGGCGAGTTCTCCTCTCAGCTTTTGTCCTGCCCCGCACACACTATACGCCTAATGCCCACAGGATGCAAAGCCTCGGTCGCAGTCCCAAAAGACCTCTTCCAGGTCCGGGCAATCTTAGCTTCGCACACAAAGTGATCCGGATCTGGGTCACCAGGGCCGATAGGGTCAAACCTGGCGTACTGAGCATGCTGCAATTCACTTTTCATCCACACCCCATTCCACCGTTGCTCTGGTTTGGTCTACTGCGCGCTGCTTCATCCGCCCCCCCCCCTCCACCGTGAATCGTCTGATGCCCTGGTTTAGTCCATGGCCCTGGTTCTGCTAGGGAGTCATCGCAGAGAAGCTTGGGACGTAACGATCAGCCTATGCTGTCCAACACGGCCCCCAAGATTGTTTCAAGGGTTTTTTTCGGGCTGTCTCGTGTCCGAAAATATCCAGGAAGCATCTCAGTCACCTACCCGTACTCCACCACCACCCCCCGCAGCAGAAACTGTAAAGACGCTACACTCCCGCTACCGCCAGTAACCCCGAGAAAAACTCGCAATAGCCCCATTTGAAGAGAAGGATGATAAACACAAGAGACAAGAAAACTCCAATACCATACGCAGCACCTTGGCATCATCCCTCCAGATCTGCCTGGAGCCACCTGTTTTTTTGTTGTGGCAGCACAAGGCGAAGAAGAGAATTCAAACAGATCAAGAGCCAAAAGAGCCTGTCCCCAAGCAGGATGCCGCGGCCCAAGTAGACCTCCTTCTGGCATCCTGGCAAGATAAGTACTGCGGTCAAACCGTTGGCCTAGTCGCTGTTCAAAGCTTGCACTGCAACAGCGCTGAGCTCCATTTTGTTCTGTTATAGCCCGCAGCTTCTCATTTCAAAAATGCCGTGCGTCGGAGGCAGCCAATCCGCCTAAAACCGGTGGGTCGACACCACCATGCAAGACCGTGAACGACGGCGCTCGTGTCCCGTTTCGTGCCGCATGCCACAGGTTGAAGAGCACACAAGTGTGTCTCTCTCCACCCTGCGACTTTGTGGGCCGGTTGGCAAAATTTGAAGAACGTCGCGGGTCGGAGTGTTCTTTCGCCCTTCCTTTGCGGTGCCTCTGCCACCATGCCAAAGTTATCTGATGTGGCACAGTGTCAAGTTTTCCACCGGTGCTAGCCAGGTTTGATGAAAGTGTTGTCATCGTTTTAGCTGGTGTTGGCTATGGTGTTGGCTGAACAAACTGAACAAAGCAGTCTATGTAGAGATCTACTGCCCAGTGTGCAGAAACAGGCGGTGGGAAGAAACAGGCAGGAATGGCCACCAAATGGGCCGATCACCCAAAAATCCTGGCCATGCACAAACAACCATCCAACTCTGACGATATCGCTCGGCTTCTCGAGTCGTTCATCTGGTTGCAGCCCTGGCACCACTGCAGCGATCGTTTGATGGGGTCCCTCTGATGTCCCTGGGCCTGGTCTGAAGGGATCCTGAAGCAACGGCGGATGAGGATTGCCTTCAGCAGCAAGGAGCACAGATCAACACGGCATGTCACAAAGAGAGACGCCTGAGGAAGATAAGGCGGCTTTGGTGTGGAAGGTTACCCAGAAGTTGCCACATCGCAGGAAAGCAACAGTTTTGGCTCCTGACCCTGTGACGGTCTCCGGTCCCTCAGTTCAGTGACAAAACATTTCTCAAGGCGTTGGTGGTTGCCTTACATGATCTTGGTTGTGGTGACTCAGATTGCATGAATGCTGCGCAGTCTAGGACACATGCGGACACATTATTTGCACACAGTTATGCCCTCACAAGCTCTCGTCGCCGCATGCTTGGCATGGGAACGGCATCCAGAGAGAACCAAACAATGCTTCACTGCCTGAGTTTAAATAAAATGGCCAGGAGAAGCCTCAATATCACACGCTACCGCCACGGGCCGAAATCGGAAAAGCAAGGCCCACAGGAACTTCAGAGCATGCTTACCCATGCTTGCCCAGATTCCTACAAGATCCTACAAACCCAGCATGCTCAGATCACGTGAGGGCTTGCATCTAGACAGTTCAGGCCCATATGCATCCCACGGCCTTTAAAGCCAGGACTGCGGCAAGACCGCACGTGCCGCATGCACACTGCTCGTGAGTGCGATGCAATAAGCACAGAACGGATCATAACGGCATGTAACGCATTGTTTGGCACGCTTCTGCCAGCGGCACTGGAGAACAAGGCTGGAGACCAGTCCAATTTCAGCGCCACTGAGCCTGTACATTGGAAGCGCAAAGGTCTACGTTTCTTGACTACAGCAAAGGTGCTACGCCCTTGCCCTTGAAGCATAGCAGGGCACACTTCTGCCGCTCGGTTCCTTGATACCACCACACCATGAAGCACTTTTGTCCAAAAGAGCTAGCCGCGCCAGCCGCGCCAGCCGCGTTAGCCCATCTCAAAGTGTCAAACTCTGGAAGCTGCTCGTGTTCGTGTTCACCGAAACTAGCGACCCTAACGATAACCATAGCATTTTAAACACCAACTCATCTTACTTGTAAATCTTGGCAGCGTGAAACTTCAGTGAGAGAACTCTGCCTCTCTCTTCATGTCGAAGTATTACCGAAGTATATCGAGATATGCCGGCAGTTGCACCGAGATAAGGTCTCAGAACATCACAACTTTGACCACTCCAAGGTGACATCCGTCTGCGTCGGACCCACCAGGTCCATCCGATCGAGCAGCGTGCCCGAGCGTTGTCTCGAGACTGCTTCTCCGGAGGGTGACTGGGAGGCTCCACGTGGCTCATGTGACCCTTGCCTCAGCTTCAAAGGCATCTTCACACGCAGACGCCTTTTCGCAGAAGCCTTCTACTGAGCCCTTGCTGGAATTGCCCATGGCATCTGAAAGACATACCATTCCAAAGCAGGCGGCATATTCGCTTCCAAGTCAGCTGCAAGAAACGAGTCTTGGTAAACGCCACGTGAGTTGCTACGCTTCGGACTGGATGTATCTCGTAGGCTGGATTGCCTGGTCAGGAAGCCACGTCTGATTTTAACAGCTGGGTCCCCAAATCCTGACTGACAGCCATGCAAACAGACGATCAGAACACGTCGCCCATCAGCATCCTGCCTTTCGCTTGAAGTTGTCTGCGGAAACATGGTAGTAAGCTGCGTCATATCCACATCCCTTGGTCGCCAGATGCTGACATGGTGTTACTGGTCACTGGCAATTACTACCCGAACGCCTCTTGCATGTCACTGCATGAGCATGCAGACACTGACGGGGATCCAAACAACATGCGTTTTGGTATCCGCCATGTCCGTTTCCTCCGACTTCCTAAGCTCAGCGAATGCTTTCAGCCATGCGTGGGGCACCTCTGGCACTACACCAAAACACGAGCGGATAGAAGCGGATGCGAGCGGCGTGTCGGTGGCCATGGAGGCAGTACGGCGCGTGCTCAAACGGCGCAGAAAGCCCGGTTCCGCGTCATTGAAGTCAACTCGGCTGTTAAGAGCTTACGGGGGATATCGCATTGTCAAAGCCAATGTCGGCCGATCATGCCGATCCTGCCTGTGCGTCTTCTTGACTTCTGCGGCCGTATGGCAGGCCTTGCCATATACAAGCCAGGACATGCTTGGCGTGTCTTGCTGCGGCTTTGTTTGATAGGTCATGCAACCTGACAGTTGATGACAATTCATCTGAGGAGATGGCTGAACAGTGTAGGAAGCCTCCAAAGCACAAAAGCAAAATTGAATGTGACAATTATGCGGTCAACAAAGGGTCGGCAGTGAGGGATACGGAGGAGTTCAGGTAGGAGCTTAGGCATCACATTGGTCGGGCCTCAATGTCATGCATTCCAGTCAGGTGCCTCTTGCCAGAGAAAGGCTCGGGCGGTAGCGCCCTCGCGATCATGCGAAGGCAGCGGAATGAGAGGAATATGCCGAGCAACCTGGAGGCAATCTTTGAAACACACAAGGTAGGAAACAAGCCGCATTCGAAAAAACGAAAAAACACTGCGACCAAGACACGTACAACAGCAGCATCCCACAACCAAAGCACTGCCAAGGGCCCACGTAGGCAACTTAAAGCTGACTGGCACCTGCTCAACGTTTCACGACACTTCTCACATTCAAGACGCTTTGAAGGAGTCTTGAAGGAGTCTAAGGCTTGGGATGCTTGGGGACTGGCGCCTGTGGATAGTCGCGTTGCACGTTGACTGTGTTGACTCTGTTGACAATTCTTTGGGGCGCTGCTTTCTGGCTTGCGTCAAAGATCTTCCAGCGGCCTTCCAAAACTACCCCGTTTTGCAACGCACAGGCAGAGGGATGAGTCACAGATTCTAATTCTTCTGTAGGGAGGACTTGAGATGCAGAGGCTACTAGCTATAATTCTTTCCTCAAGAGTCTTTCGGTGACGAGCTTTCGATGATGCATCTTACATTGATATGTATGTCTGTGATGGCGCTTCAATGTGCAGCGTTTGGTGACGAATCTTTCGGTGACAGAGCTTTTGAATTCGCATCTCTCAGTGACTGATCTTCAGATAGCTTCAGGTGGTGATTTTTCGTTGCCGAGGCTAACACGGCTGAGTTGAGGGAGCCATGTTCTTCTTGCTGGCCGATGATTTAAGTCTCTGCTGTGTGGCCGCATTGGCGTGTAAAGCTTTGATGTTCTGGACAGGCCTGAGGCCATTTCGATCTCGGTTTATCGACTGATGGATTGGCTGGAAAATCCCTGGGGCCTATTTAAACTCCATCGGCCCTCAGGCCTCAAACCACACGTCCTTCATCCCGAAGCTCGACTCTCTGAGCCCAAACCCCATGCCCATCTATGCCCATCATAAGGGACTACCGTGTAATCCACCGCCGTCGTGAATGCAGTGAAAACCTCAAAGCTGCCCACAGTTTGATGTGCGACCTGTGAGACAGGGGCAGGCAAAAGGAGGCCCAAGGCGTCCCAGACACTTTCAGCGAATCTAAGAACAGCCGCCATTTGGCCAAACAGACCGTGCTCTCAGAGGCACGTCCACCCTTGCCACGTTGGTCCCGGGGGGGGGGGGGGGGGGGGGGGGGGGGAGGATGGGGAGGGCTTGTTGATCTCGGATGTGCCTAGAGACTCTACTCGCTTCTGGCACATTTCGCAGTAGCGAGTTTTTAGGGATTGGGGCTGGAGCTGGGAGGGTCGCTGGATGCGCTTGAGTCAGTGAAGATCCAAGAATTTCATATACATCTTACCATCAAGACATAGATTGCCTAGAACATCTTAGAACCAAGACGCTCTTGGATATGCGAGCCTCGGGTTGAAGTTGACAAGCCGGACAGCTGCGCGTGGCAGAGGGCCGGGGACCAGCAATCGACTCCATGGGACCTTCAGCAAGGAAGTGTGCGTAAGCGACTTGCCACTTGATGTTCCACACAAATTCGAATCAGAAACCCCCTCGCCCTTCGCTTCGGCCGTATGCTGCGTGCTATCCTAAATACACAAGCGGTCAGCAGTGCCTGAGCAGGCCAGCCACAGCCCCCGGCTGCAGAATACTTCTCCGACTTGCTGTCCAGTAGTACCACTGATGCAGTGGCCATCACAACCAGACGCGTTCCAGTTGTCAACCCACCAATATGGCTCAGCCAAAGTGTAATCTTCAATGAGAGTCAGATCTGAGACCGATGATACAGCTGAGATGTTGCTGCCCATTGAGTCCGATGAATAAAGCTCCTCCATGAGTGTCGCCTCAAAGACCATCATCTTGGGAACCTGAAGCCAAGTATCGAGGAGTTAGACACAACGGCTTCAGCTGCCACCGCGGCGACTAAAGCCCTAAAACACAGTGGCACTGCGTGATTTCTCTTGCAAACGGGTCTCGGAGGCGAGGTCTACCAACTCCTGCAGCTCAGAGGCCAGCTGAGTCAAAGCATGTCAAAGCCATGTCATACACGTTCTAGGGCAAGTCGGAAAAAGTCCTGCGCAGCCTGTTCCATGCGTGATCTCGAGGCATTCACCTCAGGGACAAGCAGAATTTCAAGGATGCATGTGACGAATCCTGCAGTCTTCACACCACTCCCTTGGCGCCTCTAGCAGCATGGTAAGACGAACTGCAAAAGCAATATGCGACTGATAGATAAGCAATCGCCGCGTCGATCCGCCCGCTCTCAGCAGTTCGATTCCTTGGCTTCCAGGGGTTTAACATCACGCCGAGCCATCTTTCCCTGACACCGACTGGACTCTCCAAGCTGCGCAGCTCGGCTGGATGAACGTTGAGAGTTCTGGCAAACGCCCAGTAGAGAGCTGTTTCATGTTCTCGCGCCCAAGACAGGCCATCACCTTCGGCAACTTGAGCAATTAAAGAAGCAAGGTGAGGTCCCAAAAAATCCCACGGAGTAGGCCCATCCAAGGCGTCTCAAAGCCTCAGAATCGACAGCTCTCATATGCTGTTCAGGCGCTGAAGTTGCCTGTTTCCGGAAGGTCAACTGAGACATCAAGCTGGACTTGGGCGGCACCAGTGTGAGTGATGTTTGCATCCTCTTGGAGGCACTCGCCTGGCGCAGTGCAGGTATGTGCAGGTACATCAGGTACACATGCGATATCCGAAAACCAACTTCGTGCCTCGAATTCGCCACTGTCCCTCATGGCAAAGAGCAAGGACTACATCCTGGCCCAAGCATGGAAATCATGGAAATCAATAGCCACAGGCAAAACTCAAGGCCAAGCACAGCTGACGAATCTCTGCGCAGACCCTCAGCCTAGCCGCTCCTAGCCGCTCCTAGCCTCTCCTAGCCGCTCCTAGCCGCTCCTAGCCCTCAAGTCTGCAGGTTAAGAGAGATCCCCGTTGCAGGATGCCGCACCAAAGCAGACACCAGAAGCTCGTAGATCACGTAAAGCCATAAGTGCGAGTCACAGGCTTCGCAATGCAATCCGAGCAGACTTTATTTGGGGCTGAGCCAAACCGAAACCCATCATCTCAATTCGAGAGCCGGGCCCCTCATGACGCGAAGCTGTTCTTTGCCCGATAAACGTCATAAAGTAACATGCCCTCCTCTTTGTGGCAGCTGCCGCTTGCCGAGGCTTGAAAACAGTTTCGCCTCTTCGGGCCCCTTTCCATCTGTCTTGAGCCCTGAGGCTAACCTCCAAAGGTATCCCAGAAAGCAACAATATCCCGAGAAAGGACATATGAAAGGACCACATTGGACTAACCTGACAAAGGGTTTCTTCGTGTTTGCCTCTTATGTTTGCCTCTGTGTTTGCATCTCTCTGCGGGAAGGGTCCCTCCCTATTTCCTCACCCCTTGTATCATCTCCCACAGATGGAACGCTGAGTTGTAATCAGAAAAAGTCCAGCATTTAGTCAGGTGCTCGACAAGTACTTGCAGCCAGGAATCTGCAAGTCTAGCAAATCCATCTGCACACTGCACATCACAGGCACTGCCATGAGGCAAGCCAGCACACCCAGCCAGATCTCCACTGTTTGCAATCCTTGGCACGGTGGCACGGAACCCAAACATCACAACACGAGAGGGTGACCGGCGAGTCCGGAACATGAGTCGGCAACCGGATGGACCGAGTTCGAAAAGAGTCAGAAAAGCAGCGCGAGTCGTCAAACAAGTCAGGGCGAGCCAGAACACAGCAGGAAAACAGGAATTGAGCTTAAGCATCCCAAACCCTGAAACTACAGCCCTGAAAGCTTGAATACACCTGGGAGCGCTACCCTCCGAATACCTTTCAGTCATGAACCCTGATGTTTTCACTTATATGATCCCAAACCTCATTGGTCCTAGTTTCCTTTGTGTCCAAAGCAGGAGCGCTTGCCTTCTAAAACCGTCGAAGCCTTAGCCCAAACCTAAACCCCAAACTGTGCCCCTAAAGCCCTAACCCCAAATGCCTAAAAACCCTATACAAACCTAAACCGAAGCCCTGAACCCTAAACCCGAGAACATCCGAGATCCGACTTTTTTTGTTGGACTTCCGGGTTCTCTGCGGCCCTAGAAACCTAGAAAACAAGTAAGGCCTAAAACTCTGACCCTAAATCCTAAACTAAAATTCTAAACCCGAGCACGTCCGAGCTCAGCTTTCAGGAAACCAGGGGCTTTCTCTGGGGAGGTCTTTTCTGCTTTCGACTTGGGTCTGAATTCACATTGCTTTCTTGTTTTCGACTCAGGCGAGGTGACTCGGGAGAGCACTCATGGCTTTCTTGTTTTCTGGTCACAACACGAGAACAAGCTTGCCAGCTCTGCCCAAGTGGCATGGGCGGCTCACGACACAGAAGCGCCGTGCTGTTGTCAATCGCGGTATCGGTAGCTGTCGAAGTTACAGTAGTGCTAATAGTGCTAGTGCCGGTGATGGCGGCGGTTGTCGCCGTGGTGGTGGCACTACTGAGGGTCAAAGAAACGGTAGAGGTGGCCGTGGTCCCGGTCCCGGTTGCGCTGGTCTGAGTCGTGGAAAGGGTTGCGGAGGTCTGTGTGACGGATGCTGTTGCGCTGGTATGAGTGGTAGACACGGTTGCAGTTCTCTGAGTGGTGGATACGGTTGCCGTTGCACTGGTCTGAGTGCGAGTCACTGTTGCGCTGGCATGGGTGGTGGAAGAAGTCGCACTGGTCACGGTTCTGGTAGCAGACACAGTGGTGGTGGTGACAGTGGTGCTTCCGGTCATGGTTGCAGTTGTGGCCGTTCTTGTGGCTGTTTCTGTGGTGCTCATGGTCACGGTTGCAGTGGTGGTGCTGGTTGCAGTGCCGGTTGTAGTGCCGGTTGCAGTGCTGGTTGCAGTGCTGCTTGCAGTGTAGGTGAGTGTTGATGCTGTGGTTGTAAACGTTGCCGTGGTCGTGCCTGTTGTCGTCACTGCTGTCATTGTGAAACTCGCCGTTGCACTTGTAGTCGTCGTTGTTGTTATCATCGTCAAGGAACTCGAGCTTGTCAGGCTGGTTAACGTCATGCTGGTTGTCAAAGTCACGGTTGTTGCAGCAACCGTTGTCGTCGTTGTAGTTCCAAGTTCGCAAGCCATCTCAAACATGCATACGATAGATGTTAGTCCAACATCCAGATCTCCATCACCAACACATGTGTTTCCTGTTGGGAAAGTCCAGTCGATTGTTGACCCCACCGCGAAGGCCGCGTGGTTGAAGCTGCAGTCAAAGCCAACCATACCAAAATAGTGCATCTCCGGCACACCATTCCATTCATCAGCATTTGTTCCCGTCGTTGGAACACAGTTTGGCGGGATGGTACCACCATTGCCAAATGCTGCCAACATGCAAACATTCAGAGCTCCGGGTGTTTCACCGCCCGCAATGTTGTCATCGAAACCCAATCCAGCAAACCTAGCAGTGTGCTCACAGACGTTCGATTCAATGGTCTAGAAAGCTAAGCTAAACGCTGCCGGGCTACGGGAATCAATCATTTGCAGATGCAACTTGCCACAAGTGCCATGTTGACCACGGTAATGGCTCGCACGTGATATCTATGAAACCGGCACGGAGCACACGGCCATGACACTTGCTTGTTGAATGTCTATTCAGACTTTAGAGAAGACTTTACACAAAGCGACGAGGAATCTTTTGCAAATTGGAATGTAAAACCAGAACTCCGAGTCATGAGTCATGACTTGATGCCTTCACATTCCCAAGTGCCTCAGCGGATCTGCGCTCGTGCCGGTCAGCCGGAAGCCCTTGGTGGTGACGTCGAGGACTTGGGCACAGGATGCAGCGCCCAAGCTATCCCGAACATTCTCACCTGTCGTCAAGCATGCAACAAGTAGATCTAGCAATGTGGCAGTTAACATATCCTAGTAAAACTTAACATTGCCAAATGGCCAAGAGTTCTACAGCTGCCACAAGCTCGCAAAAAAAAACTCTGGACCCCTTGCCCAGTGCAAGCAAGACTCACATCTCCACTTGCACTGCCCAAGATCTTTCCATTGTTCCCACAAGCACCAAAAGCAACAGAAGCCGCGGCTGCGGAGATTGCCTAGGCACCAGTGACGCTTCAGCATCAGTGATTCTACAGCACTTCCCACGTCTATCCGGAAAGCGCCGAATTCTCGAAAATCAACAAATTGTCAACTGGTGACGCTGGTGGCATTCTTGACACAACTCTGCGCCAGCTGCTTGCTGGTGCCCGTGGACATAGACTCACCTTGATTTGCACGGCAGTGCAGACACTTGCAGAAAGCAGCTTGAAAATAACAGTGAACTTGTTCGTGCTTACAAGGGAATCACTTGCCAGTGCAGTGGCAAATGCTGTCCTGGCATTCTTGCTGGTCTCGTTTGGACGCATTGGCAAGGCAGCTTCCAAGTCTTGGACCAAAGCTGCATGAGTCCATTCACAAATTCGCAATTCTAACAAACATTCAACATGTTGAGATGCTTGAAACCTCCATGCCTAATCGTTAAGCAGAAGTGCGGCCAACCAAGCAACATCCTGGAAGCATACTCAACCACTGTACATTCTCACAGGACCTGCAGCTATGGCTTGCAAACCAGGTCCGCTGCTGATGTTCGGGCGTCGTGCTTCGGGGCTCCTGCCAGGGATTGCCAAGCGACTTGTGCATTCTTCCACTTGACACGACGTATGCTTCCGCACAGAGCTCGAAACATCTCGAAACATCACCTGCCCTCTTGAAGTACGAGTAGAGCTCTCAAGCCGGAGGTTCAGCCAAAACCACTCCTCTGGAGCCGGACGCTTGGTGCCGCCAACCTTACAATTGCATCTCCTTTGGACAAACACGTACAAGCACTGCGGTGAAGGCGCGACAAACACTTGCGACACGCCTGGTGACATGCGACGATTGATTAACACCACCCGAAGATGGCTGTCGGGACCGACAAGACCATTCTCCGCATCTGACAAGTCCCAGCGAGACCATTCCTGAACCTTTGACCTGGGCACCTGTGGGTCCAGGCTGTGATTCCTGGGCATGGGCGCCTTCAAAACCATTGGTCATGTCGCTTGATTTGCTTGTTTGCCTCCAGACTTCAACAATGCCGGGATGGGACATCACTGGTCTGAGGCCAAAGCCTTGTCAGAGGAAGCCTGAACGAATCGACCCACAGAATTCCACGGAAGCTGGTAGTCACCCGGAACTACAAGATGCTGCGGATGCCTCCAGTGCCGCTCCAAGTCGAGCAGTAGAGTTGTGTCTGCTCAATAGCCTCCCAGCTCTTGAGGAAAGTGGGTTGCGGAGAGCTTTCACGTCACCCGACACGTACACGTGCACATGCTGCTTTGCTGTGAAAATTGAGCGCTTGCCGGCAAATGCAATGAGTGAACGACATGACATTGCTCTGACTTGTCTCCGGTACCAGGAAACTTTCCGCCTCTGTGCCACACCCACTGCCACCTTCTCTTGCCAGGCCTCCATACATGCTGGGAACCAAGCGTTATGAGTTCAGCTGCGTTTGCAGCAGATTGGCATACAGACAAATGAATATTCATATACATGGTGACCCAAAAACACGGGCCGCTTCAACCTGAAACGGGCCCGATATCTAATGTCCCAGATCCAAGATTTCAGGGAAAAATCTCGCTCCAAGATCCCCTGACAAGTAAACAGCATCAAGTCAAGTCGAGAATCGCATGATTCGCCCCAGAACTCTCCAGGAAGATTGCACCCAAACGTTGTATTACAAACCGCCGAAGGCGGTTGGGGGAACATAACGAAGGACACTTTGACAACTGTCGGGACTCATGAGCCACGTGCAGATTAACCTGAAATTATATCCCCATTCGAAACTGTCTTAGACTTCAAATAGGCCCCTGAGGATTGTAGAGGGTCATCCCCTCAACAAACGGACACCTGCGCCCGACTCAGGAGTTTAAGGTTTTAGGAAACCTACATGAACTCTGAAGTTTCTGACCACCATTGTGATTACAATCCTTAAGCAGAAAATTGAGGGCATTCGGATCATGTCTCAGCATTTTAAGTTTGTATGGCTTTGAGAGACGACTCCCCTTGTGTAGTATTGCGAGTGGTTGTTTGTGTGCTTCAGCTGTTGGCTTCCAATTTCAACCTTTCCGGGTGTTATCACCAAAACCTGGGTTCCGGGTGGACGGGAGGTGGGTCGGGGCTTGGTAGCAAGCATACATACATATGTAAACACAAAAATATATTTCGTATTTGCTTCTACTTGCATTTGTCTGTACATATACATATATGTTTATATATTACATACATGAATGTTTGTTCGAAAAAAGGCATTCGTCGCCTGCTGCGCAACATGCTTGGTAGGCCCTTATCGAGTTAACGAGGACAAGCAACCCAAGAGATACAGACCCAAAAGAGTCCGACAGTAGCACTTTAGGGTGGGCTCCTGTCGCAAGACAAGTACTACAACCCACTAGGCATGCACCATCAAGACAAAAACAGGATCTAAACAAGTTTGTCCCATATACTTATACATGTAGAAAGGCATAACACAATAAAACATGAATGCAACATGACGCTGATTTAGCAACTGGCAGCTGCATGTCCAGGTAGCCTTTGCCCGAACTGCTACAGAAGCGGGATCGTTGTCTATAACATCCTCGCGGCAAGACGGGGTCCGGTCCAGCTGACTACGTACACCTTACTGGATTACTGGAAACAACCCGAAAAAACTGGTGGTTGCAGATCTTGCATACCATTTACATTCGGCACCTCTCCTGGCTCACGCTGAGCTTCGCTTCTAGCAAGTCGGAACTTGGCGCGGAGGATGCTGCATGCACCTGAACGGCACACAGCTCAGCCAGACCGGCCCCGCCAGGCTTGACGCATTTCCATGCCATGCGATACCAAGGCCAAGGCAGCCAGGCTGCTGCCTATCCCCACAGCCTTGACCTTGGCACATGCACTGACACGGTATCTGACATTAGCTTCCCTTCAGCTTGCAATCTAACCCTTCCCAAAGAGTTGCCGGCTGTGAACGAGTCCTCACTCTGCCGAAACGGATGAATGTAGAAGAACCTTCATTCAAGACCATTGAATGCATTGAGTGCAGCTCGAAGCGTGTATACGCAGCGACAGCTTTGGTGCATCTCGCGAAAATCTGACAGCATTTTTGACCCTACCCCTTGACGCACAACAAGCGGGGTCAAAATGGTCAAAGATGAGCGCGGAGCAGGCCAGGGACAAAGACCATGAGGCTGCAACGGACCCGTAAGCCAGGAATAAGATGGAAGACTTCGACAACAAAACCACACCGCAGCCTTTGGCTGAATGCAGAAGCCACTGCTCAGCAGTTGCTTTGAAAATGGATCGTACAGACGGCTTGCTAAGCAAGAAAGAAAAAAAGACAAGGCCATGGAGAGAAAGAGACACGAACGAGAGAGCGCCAGCGATAGTGGCAAGCTCGCACTGGTTCCCAGAGGTGCACTGACACTCAGCTGCCATCTCTCAGCTGTAAATTGCTCCCCCTCTCTCCTGGAGGCCTTGAAAGCATCACATGTCAACACTTAACAACACTTCACAAACGTTTCAGATGTCTCAGTATCGAAGAAGGCCGTCCCTTGGCAGTCCAGCGCAGGCGAGGTCTGCCATTGTGGTGGGTGAAAGCCTCAGACCACGGGCCCGTAAAAAATGTGTGGAATGCTTGAATCTCCTCTGTCATCTCTCTTTGGCACAGGCCTCTCCACTGCTCGTTGCGCAGCCGCTCTGACCTCAACTGCTCTCGACTTCTCTGCTCACAATGCATGCATTCGCCTGCATTCAAAGTTGGACAATCTGAGGCCCTGACTTCAAAGCTGGGATCCAGCTTGCAGCGAAGCACCTGCCATGAGAAGGAACCCTTGCAGCCATGTTGAAAAACAACATTGCATAGTGAGATATGGGCCTCGTTATTACATAAATTTACATCGTGAATACTGATTGGCAAATTTCCTTAAGGTCCTTGCCTGCTCGGCCCAATGCTTGAGATGGTCCGGCTTCAGGAACCGCAAAGTCAAGAGAGCGGCTGCACGCACTTCCGCATCTTCGTCCTGCAGCTTTTGCACCACCCATGGAGCCTGAGCACATGACAAGAGGAAGGAACAAGGACATGTGTTGCACGACCGTGCAACATGAAGCCCAACTGCTTGCCTGGAGCGCCAACTCGACCGAGCTCAATCTTTGGAGGGCACACAGGGCCGCCATCCGCACCTGTGGCATTGGATCGACCAAGCTCTGGGTGACCCAGCGAGTGTGATGCACCCAAAGATGCGAGGGCAGTCGTCGGAGGGCGATCAGAGCATCCTCGCGTACCACTGTCTCGGCATCTGCAAGAAGCTGCACAAGAGCGGTGCCTTGCAACTCCCGGACTGAAAACGCCAGGGCATCCCTCACCTTCCAATGGTACCAGTGGCCCTCGTTGCCCTCGTTGCCCTCATTCGCCATCTCCAAAAGGTTTGGAGCATTCACAAGAGTGCCCAGCCACTCAATTGAATCAACGGGATGACCATGCCCCATCTCTGCGAGCAACCTCTCATCCACCTCTTGTGGGCGGCTACGTCCGATTGCCTTGGGCGTGTTGAAGCCATCTGCCAAGTGCCGTGGCAGCTGCGTACAGGCCGTTCTGTGACTGGAACCTTCGGAGTCTTCCTGCTTGCTGTGGAGATCTTGCAAATCAGCTGTGAGATGTGATGGTGGAACTGGCATCGACCCAGGCACGCACAGGCACTTCCAGGTTTTGCCACAACGAAGAAACGACATCCGAGGACTCTCAACATCCTTCAAGCCGTGCAATACCGTGATGTCTAGCTTATGTATGAGCTCACAAGCTCGACGCCTGACTTCTGAAACGGGGTCTGCCACAAGAGGCAACACTGCCTCTGCGTATGGCGCAAGCTGAGGACCCTCTAAGCCCAGTAGCTGATGAAGCGCGTCGGCCCGAACTTCCCACCTAGCATCACCCAGCGCTGCAAGATCGGGCACATTCACGTGCAACGACACAGCTGACCTGTCAGGATGCTCAAGATGCTTGAAGCTGTGCTGTGATCCCAGCACATTTTCCACAAGTTGCACTGCCATTGCTTCTGGCAGCTGCTTCTTCGAACAAATCCGTAAGGTTAATAAGAAGTCCAAGCATGACATGCTGTAGCCTAGCTGCCCCATATCGAGTTCGCCAAGGTTTTGTCATGAATACCACTACGAGCAAAAGCCTGGCCCAGGGCATGTTGCACCAATGCCAAAGCACAACAAAGCTGCACATCTCAAAACTACTGCGCACCCGTTCAAGAATAACTGTTCAATTTCTTCAGGCTTGTACGCATAACTGTCGTCGAGAGCGTTCCAACCAGGTGGCAAGACTTGCAAGCTCGCACTGCCTCAATGACAATGGAAACCCTGGAATCATTGCGCATCAAAACCATGCACATGCTGAGGGAAACACCATCGGCAGCGGTCGAAACAACCTCGCTGTGGTGTTTTGCGGTCACCACGGCCACCACGGCACCAAGGCACAAATTCAGTCGCATAAGCCTACAACTACAAACTGGGCTCACCGCGGGCTGTGCTGAGCTGCTTGGCTCAGAAGTTCCGACGCACACGAAGCCGTGCCTCAGACTATCCCCGAGGGTCACAAACAAGCCATTTGTTTGGATGAAGCGAAAATTCACAACAACGAAAAACAAACCATGTCAACAGCACGCTAGACACTGAGGACGAAGCTCGAGCATTGTGCTATGTACAGCCAGAGCAGCCCGGTCCATTTCACCACGAACTGGCCTTCACACCAATTGATTGCAACTAATCCACAAACGTGCAGCAATTCTGACCAAAACTGAGGTCCAAGCACATGGCGCAGCAAGACTTGCAACATGGGTTCCTTAAGGCGCCTCCAAATCTAAAGAAGCACCGTCCTTGAGCAACGAAACTCAGCTCGCGTGCACCAATACGTGTATGCAAGAAACTTATCCGCCGACCTGACGGGGTCGGCGTCAGTGAAGCCCTTGTTCCCTACCCCCCACCCATTACGTTTTCCCAGAAAAGGGCTCATGGAGGTTGAGATAGAGAGATTGAGAGGGCTCTAGAGGAAAAACCCTCACCGCCCTCACGCGCTCCCACCGCCCTCACCCAACCCAGCGCATCCCCAAACCCTCACCGCCAACCGCCCTCACTGGGCTTTTAAACACGGCTCACCGATTCCTGACCCACACCGTACCCGCCTCAACCCCCCCTGCCCATCTACTCCTTACCTCGCTCCGTGCGGGTAAGGGTAGGGGGTCAGGGGCAGGGGGCAGCGGGTAGGGGTTTAGGGGGTGGTAGGGCGTGTAATGCTCATGCTCATCAGTGAGCATCAACGGCTTCAATCCCGGGGCGCATCATGAGCACCCCTCGCCCCAAGGTGGTTCCAGCATCTGGGGTACTGCCTGAGCTGCCCACCTGTGGGCGGAGCCCCTTAAAAGATACAATTTTGCACCCTAACAACCGTTTTGCACGTTATCATAGGTTTGCCCAAACGGTTCAAACGACCAAAATCTTCTAAATCTTCACGAGGAAAGGGCCCTTCTTCGTGAAAATGCACTGCCTTTCGCGGGCCCCATCGCGGACTTTCGCTAAGCTAGTTACCCGATTCTGGATTTGGGGCGCAGGCGTCCCAGCTCTTGCGCTACACAAACTGTCAACGACGTTTATAACGTAAAACTTCACGAAATAGTGATATTTGTTCGCGGGTCCCATCACGGACGTTGGTAGACCCTTGCTTCAATCGTGCCATGCCCGCGCCAGTACAACTCGAAGACATAAAACTTTTGAACAACCCTCGATTTAGAGTTAAGCGCACCTTCGGAATAAGCAGGGCATTAGGCGGCGCGGCCTCGAAACCCACGGGGCCGAGACCCTTCATGTCTCAAGCTTCCAGCATCAGGATTTCGAGAATGTTGAATCGAATAACTGAAGTCATAAAGGCTCAGGTTTCAGTGAGCCGTGGAATCTATCATCACACGCAAGTCCAAGGTGCTTTCAGCATCGGACTTCTCCACAACACGATTGGAATCTTCGAGTAAAAGTTTGAAGAGTTACCGTCTATCATTTCTGGGACAGGTACCGATCTTTCGGGAAAACCATAGACCCCTACCCCCACCAGGCCCCTATCTACATGGGTCTATCCGAAACCGATAGGTACCTACAGACAGGCACCTTCCATAGGTAGGACAGGGATACATGGGGGGGGGTGGGGGGCGGCTCTGGCATAGACCTCTATGCGGGCGATAGACCCCTATCCCTTTCAGATAAGTCCGTATAGCTAAAAAAAAAACCTAAGCCAAAAACCCTGAAAACCCCTGAGCCCTAAACCCTAAAAATCCCGAAACAGAAAAGCCAAACCTAAAAGCCCTAAACCCCAAACCCTGAAAACCCCTACATCCTGAACCCTAAAAACCCCCTAAACCTTAAACCTGAAACCCTAAACCCTAAACCCTAAAAACCCCCAAGCCCTACACCCGAAAAGCACCCCTGAGCCCTAAACCCTAAAACCCTAAATCCTAAAAACCCCTAAACTCTAAACACAAAAAACCCTAAAGCTTAACAACCCTTAAGCCCTAAACGTGAAAACAAAAACTAAACCCTAAAACCCTAAAGCCCTAAGCCCTAGACCTTACAACCCCTAAACCCGAAACCTTAACACACCCTAACCCTAAACCCTGAACCCTGAACCCTAAACCCTAAACCCTAAACCTAAACCCTAAACCCTAAACCGTCAACCCCCCTAAGCCCTCACTAAAATCCGAAACCCTAGACCCTAAAAACTCCTAAGCCCTAAAACCTTACAAACACTAAGCCTTAAACCCTACAACACCACTAGTGTAAACATCACATTTATACATGGTGTGGTAATACGAATATTCGCCGTGCCAAAGGGCCCCAGCCCAAGACTACTTTCCATTACGGGAGGTTTTCGGGCAGATATGTGTAAACAAGTCTATAGGGGGGCCTGGCGAAAATAATAATGGGGTGACAATTGTAAAATTTGGCCGGCCAGGAATCGAAAATTTTACTGAAAATGGCTTAAGAATTCCATGGCAGAGAACTTTTCAGCAGAGCTGGCTTGAAAGTGCTCCAAGGCTCAGTCTTTAGAGAAGCAGATCTCGTTTGAGATTGCTTGTCCTTTGAGATTGCTGCAGCTCCAGAGCTGCGAGAAACTGCTGCTTCAGGCCTGTTTCTTCAGAGAAGCAGGTGCCTCTTGAGATTGCTGCAGCTCCAGAGCTGCGAGAAAATGGTGCGTCAGGCCTGTTTCTTGAAAGAAGCAGGTGTCTTTTGAGATTGCTGCAGCTCCAGGCTGCGAGAAGCTGCTGCTTCAGGCCTGTTTTTTCAGAGAAGCAGGTGTTCCTCTAAGGCTTCAGATTAGAGTCCCTGAAGCTTAAGACTTCAGCCTTCGGCAATTGGAAGGCAGGAAACCGCCAGAGGTCTGAAAGCAAGGCTTCTTTACTAAAATCTTTATCCGCCGGGGCTCGCCGGAAAGGGTACCCCTTACGGGCCTCCAACATGACAATAGTAACAATAGTACATGGGTGGCAATAATATTTTCGGCGAGAGGGGAGGGGGAACCAAGAAAGCCTCAAGTTTAAATGGTTGTCTTTAAGTCTCAAGACAAGAGTCCCTTAAGCTTAAGACTTCAGCCTTCGGGTCCTGGTCTAAGTCTCAAGACAAGAATCCCTGAAGCTTAAGACTTCAGCCTTCGGGTCCTGGCCGCCAAAGATCTCAAAGCCAGGTTTCCTTACTTTAAACCTCTAGACCCCCAGACCCCAGACCCCGGACCCCCAGAATCCTCATTATTAACACCCTCTCTTTTTTTACCCGTCCAAACCCCGGAGACCAAAACAAGATTTGGGGGGGTTTACTAAAGCGACATTCACATTAAACCCTAAACCCCAAAAAACCTAAACAACCCAAATAAAAGCGTAACCCCAAACCCTGAAACCCCTACACCCTAAACCCTAAAAACCGCTAAATCCAGCCCAACAGCCCTAAACCCAAAACCCTGAAATCCCCTACATCCTGAACCCTAAACACCCTAAAGCCGAAAGCCCAATAAAAACACAAAGCCAAAAAAACCTAACCTCTAACCCCTAAAACCCCTAAGCCCTAAGCGTGTCCGAGAGGTCAGCTAGGCGGGTGGCACAAAAAAACACAAACCCAAAAAAACCTAAACTCTAACCCCTAACACCCCTAAGCCCTAAACGCGCCCGCGAGGTCAGCTAGGCGAGTGGCAAAAAAAACACTAAGAATCTACACGCTAGATCAAAACCCAAAACACCTCACCCTGAAAATCCCTCACTATATCCTAACCACCCCTAAACCCTAAACCCTAGAACCCCCGAAACCCTAAGCCAAGAAAAACCTAAACCCACCCTTAAAAACCCCTACACCCTAAACCCTTAAAACCCCCAAAACCCTAAACCCTAGAAAAACCCTAAACTCCAAACCCAAAAACCCCGAAGCCCTAGACCCCAATAAACTTTGAACCTTGAAAACCTTAACCTCGAACCCCTGAAAAACCCTAAGCCTTCGAAAAGCCCAGCCTAAAAGCCCTAAACCCTACATCCTGACAACCCCTACATGAAGTAGGGTTTATATTTTTTGTACTGCGGTCTCGAGGTCGTGAATCATATCAAGGTGAGACAGCTTAGATGTGTACTAAGCACGGTTAGCAATCACACAACATGAGAGGTCGGGGACGTGAATTTACCGAACAATGGTTAAGCTTCGCTTGGACAGAGGAGACAGAGTCAATGGTTACATCAAGCGTTGGGCCCAATCAGCGATAGTGTTTGCATCAAGCAGCACAGCTTTGAAGCAAAAATATTGAAGCATGTCAGGAGCTTTGCAGAAGAGATTTTGTCGCTTACAGAAATGACAACGGAAATCCATTGTCCAATCAAAGGAAAGGATGCGTGGAAGGCGTGCATCGTTTAAATGAGCAAGCTCCATAACCCTTAGAAAATGTTTTTGAAGCATTCATATCTCCTCTTGGCCGCAATGAACCTTTTAGTGATGCCACGCAATTTGCACCTGATGTCAACAGGATCCAT